AAAAAAATTTCTATAGAATTCCGCTGTGAAACCATCCTCACCCGGTGACGTTCCATCCTTAAAGGTTTGGAGTATCTCTTTACATTCATCGTAAGTCAATTCGCCTTCAAGTTGGTCGCGTTCATCATCCGATAATTTTGGAATTTCTAAATTGTGAGTAAATTGATCAAATTCAAGTTGAGTTGCTAAACTCTTGGATGTGTAAAGCTCCTTATAGTAAGACTCTATTGCTGACAGGATCCGTTTTTCATCGACAATAACCTGACCGTCTTCCAATTCAAGTTCCGTAATTATCTTCTTGTTGTAATTTCTCTTCACTAGATTAAAGAAGTAAGTTGTTGGGCGCTCTCCGCTCTCCAACCAGCGACACTTGGATCTGAACATTGCCGCTTTCCCTTTGCGTTCATACAGCTCTTGTAGCTCCTTTTTGAGATCATCATACAGTTTTAATTCACGGTCAATGTTCTGAAGATCACTACTATCGCAGATTATAGCATCAAGGGTGTCTAACCGCTGCTTGACTTCAAGCTCTCGTGTGTTTATGATCTTCGATTTTGCCTTGGTGAAAGCAATAGTTATTGATCTAATTTCCATTTTTAAGAGCTCCCAAAAAATCCGTTTGTCATGGATGTCCGAGTACTTTTGACATAATTGAGGATAGCTGTCGTGAATATTTTTTATATAATCTTCATCCTGAAGCAATATGTTAAAATTTCCAGAAGCCGGGGCCTCTGGGTGTGTCCTTTGGCCAATTTAAAGATAGAAAGATCATTTTGTGATCTGGAGCGATCGATGTCTGAATGTCAACCTTTTTAACAAATTTTTTGAAATCTTTAGATATTAAAAAATAGTCTATCCTTGATTTTAAATTCTAAATTCAAAGCCTTCGATGTATATGAATATTTGTTTACGTTAGGGTGCCGTTCTCTCTGAATATCAATGAGATCAAAGATATCCATTGTTATTAAAATCGCATTTCTAAAGTTCGTTGGCCTCCAAATTAAACCACCTTTTTTGTCCTTCTTTGTTAGTGTACAATTCCAATCTCCACCTACAATCAGCCTCGTTAACTCTGCTTTGTCTATCAAGCAGTTGTTAAGTTCTTGAATGAATTGCAGTTGATCATTTGGATTATTGGGAGCATAAATATTACAAAGTGACAGTTTAATACTGTTGAAGCTCACCATAATTAGTGCTATTCCACCTGCGTTGTCTGAAAAAGAATAAACAAGGTAGAATTTAAGAAGTTGGCTTCTGTAGGCAACTTTCAAGTTTCCTTGATTACCATATGTTTGGAAATGCGAAATATATTTTCTGCAAGAGTTCTTCGCCTGTAATAATGACTTTGCGAGATGTTTTTAAAGAAATTTACAACATCGTAGTTCTCATTTGTTTACATGCAGCGATTCAGTGTGAGCTTTGAAAGAAAAATGACTCTTCTGAATCGGCATTCAGAAGCAAAAAGCGTTGGATCCTGGGCTTACAACACCGTAGTTCGATTTTTTTATGTGGACTGTTTCTTCGTGAGCTTCATTATTTGGAGATATTTTGTGATTGTCGCATAATCTGCTAGCAAACTGTTCAAGTGATCAAAGGGCTTTTTTCCGTAGGTGACATGAATACGCAAGTACGTTAACAAGACAACCGCTCGTATGCCTTGACATTTTTTTCCTGAACAGATGATCAAAGCCGTTCAATAGTTTACTCAAGTCGTTTGAACAGATGGATGTTCCAGCGAACGGATGAGCAAGTCGTTCAAATGGTTGGATGTTTTTAACAAACTGGTGAGCAAGTTGTTGAAACGGTTAGACATTTTTGTCAAACAGGTGAGCAAGTCATTCAAACAGATGGATGTTTTTACCAAATGGGTAAGCAAGTCATTTGAATGGCTGGACGTTTCTACTGAACGGGTGCAAATTTTTTGGGGATGACCCAGGTAGTTCGAACGAATGCGAATTTCTTTGAAACAGCTTCTGAACAGAATTCCGTTAAAAAATGGAAATCCGTTAAAGCACATTTTTGCGTGAAAGGTCACATATCCATAAAGCCGTAATAATATCTGTAAGCCATGAAACTTTGACTGTGATCTAGAGCAAAAAATGTCTACCTTATTTAAAGAACTAACGTGGTCATCCGGGTTCTCATTCGGCACAGACCTCTGCGATAACTGCGAAGACAGAGTCACACAATAAAAGTCACACATAATCTGCGGTAAAAATGTGGTGGGTTAAATGAGATCCTAGTTAGTACTGATTTTGCTGTAAATTCTGTGGGTCAGTTGGTTAGCTTTTTGCTTCTGTACTATCCTGATAGCTCAATAGCTGCAACTAAATCAAGTCCATATTTGCATTACTTGGGTGTGCAGCATCAACGAATGTCAATGAGAGACTTATTAACTAAAGCGTATACATTTTTGGATTCTTGCAGTTTATCAATTACCAATCAATAAATCACTAGTTTTTATGAAAACAATCGATGAGCTCAATACCTTCATTCTGTTTAGAGATGCACACATCCTGTTTTCCACTTGTGACAGCATCTTTTGCTTCACTGACTATGGACTTCACCTGCTGGTTTTGTTTGTACTGTTGCTTGTATCCTTTCTCTTTTAATGCATGTGGTTCTGCATGGTGGATCTTTCTTAATTTGCTCATTTGAGTGCAAGGGGTTTTCCAGCTGTCTTTTCATCAAGTCTAGTTTGCTGTTGATGATTGAAGAGAGATTGCCGAGTATGCTAGTGTCATAGTATTTGCGCGGTATTCCTTGGCCGCAGAGGCCTGAACTGCACCTGCACACATATAGTCAAACATGGCGGCCATGTTTCTTCCATGTAGGAATAAACTCCCGAATACATACTATTTAAGGGTGTTAGAAGTGGGATGCTCTCAGGAAAACATACAGGAAATGCACATGGAACTCTTCAAATACAAATTATGGGAACTTTTATGTCAGTTCATCAGAGATTTTCAAGTTTTAATTTTCAACCTGCTTGACTCAATTAGGCCTGGGTCACACTAGTGTAAAAATTTGTTTGTTTTACAAAATAAATCTGTCAACAGGTAGGTTTTTCCCGTTCAACCGATTTGTCAGACATTGTCAAAAATGAGCAGAATGTACCAAATGTTCAAAGATGCCGGCACTTAAAATTGCCAAGCTCTGTACCTCGCCAAAATGTCACAAAAAATCAAAAAAGCTATTAAACTGTCACTCGTGACACAAATAGTCAATGAAAAACGCAGTAAAATCAAGTTTACTTATGATTTGGTGCCAAACTTCTTGAGAAGGCTACGAAGGTGGATCCCTCTTGGCCATATGCGAGTCCCAGTGCTCTTTATATGCCATTAAGAGCAATGACTCCAGATACAAGAAATTATTTTGGTCAGCAAGAAGTCAACTTGAGTCAACCAACATTCAGTTCTTACAATTCAGTCATGGCTCAAGTGGTGGCATCACTCACCGGCTTTACTCTGAGAAGAAACATTTGAGAGCCAGTCCCCAAGTCAGTCTAACCAGTCCAAGAAATACGATAAGTGGACCAACAAACAGCAGAAGTACTTGGTGCAATTATGGGCTGAGAAGCAGGATATGCTTAACAGCAAGGATTCAAGAAATGCTTTGCGTGTGATTGCTGAGGGGCTTAACAATAAGTTCGCAACCAACAAGATGGTCGATAAGTGTATAAGAAAAATTAAGTACCTAGTTGACGCCTACAAAGAAAAGAAAGAATGGAATAGAAATCAAACTGGCGACAACTTGTGAAAATCTGTTTTCTATGACAAAATCGATGCTGTTTTGGGTTGTCGTGACATTGTGACCCTTAGGCACACTCAAACAGCGGGTAACTCTCCATCGACAACATCATGTCCAGCAGATAGCGAAAGCCCCTTGAATGTATCTGCTGAGTCCAGCATCGAGAAGGAGCCAATGGAATCTGCTTTGCCACTAAAATCTCACCTGGAAAGGAAGAAAGGCCCAGGCAGAAGGAAGAGAAAACCGGAGGATGCCGACAGAGAAATGGAAGAGCACTTCAAACGTGCTTACGATAAGATCAAATCCCAAGGAGAACGTGTTGCGTCTTCCATGGAAAAAATGCAAGAGATGCAAACGCAGCAGATGAAAATGATGAACCAATTTATGGGGAATTTTCTCCAGGCATTTGAGGACAAAAATAGTTAAAAGTCAAACACTTTCTTTCATCCATGTATGATATGCAATTTATGATATTTGTAATATGCATGTGCAAGGTTCTGTTACTGTTTTTGTTACTGTATAGTACAAGATGAGTATTTGCTAAAGACAAACTGAAATGTTCAATTCTTGCTTTAATTTTAGAGCTATTATACTATTAAAATGTGTTCACTTTGACACTGAACATGGTTAGTTCCCTCCGCTAACTATGCACTGAAGAAAATTATTTGATTTGTGTTCAAATAAAATGAAGTAAATCTCAGGTAACTCGCAACAGATTAGTTCCTTCTGGAAGGTCACAACAAAAACTTAAACCAACGAAGCTTGTCACTGTTCAGTAAAACGTTTGCAAAGAAGATATATATTCTTTTAAAACCTCTCTTATGTTATCTCCATCTTGCATTACATTCGTATCATCATTCTCGCCATCATCGTCATCATTTTTGTCACTGTCATCCCAGTGGTCACCATTCCTGATGCAGAAATTATGAAGTACTGCACAGGCAATTGCAGTCTTGACTGCAAAGTTCATATTGCTGTCGAACCGCTTTGCTAAAATCCTCCATTGGCTCTTTAAGATACCAAAGGCGCATTCAACAGAAACTCTGGCAGCAGTCAGCTCTCGGTTGAAGGAAATCTTGTCTTGATCCCTAGTTGCTTAGGGAAAAGGTTTTTGTAGCCATGGTCCAAGGGGATAAGCACTATCCACGATGAGATACGGCCAAATTTCATGATGACCAATCTGTATAGTAGGACTTTTTAGGATGTAAATGTAAAATGTAAATTTAAAAGTAATTTGTTCACCCACAGAGCACCAAGGGATTCACAGAACTCGTTCAGAAATGTCAGTGCATTCAAGGATTGAATTGCAATTTGAGAAATGTTGGTTTTTGAGGAGAGGGGAAAACCGGAGTACCCGGAGAAAAACCTCTTGGAGCAGAGAAGAGAACCAACAACAAACTCAACCCACATATGACGCCGGGTCCGTAAATTGAACCTGGGACACATTGGTGGGAGACGAGCACTCTCACCACTGCACCATCTCTGCTCCCTGCTCCACTGCGCCATCCCTGCTCCCCATGTCTGTACAATGTGCTGTTTCTCAGAACTCGGGCATCGTGAAGACTTCCAGGATGTCCGGTGGCGAAATCGAGAAACAGTTTGTGGCCGTCCACTACCCCTTGAACTATAAAATTGTACTGATGAAAGCAGCTAAAATAATCAAGAGTGCTTTCATCGGGAGCTTTTATCTGAATATGGGTGCCATCAATCGCTCCAGCAACATTAGGAAGATTAGAAAGTTCAGAAAATGTTTCAATGCATGTCCTAGTCTCTGCTTCACTTACTGGAAGTTTCATGTACTCGTTTCTCAGTTCAAAAAGTGCCCCAGTAACATCTTGAACTGCCTCCATTACGGTACTTTTCCCTACATCAAAGTTAGCGCCAATTGTCAAGTACGAGTTTCCATGTGCAAGACGGTAAAGACCAAGAGTGAGCACTTTTTCTGGAGGAATGCAATCATGCAACAAGGTGTTTTGCTGCAGAAGAAAAGGGTGCAGCATATTGAGAAGTGCATTAAAGGTATTCCTATTCATTCGTAACTGGCTTTTGAAGTAGTTGGGAGGAATTGCAAGATTCCTGAAGTGTATCTCGAACCACAATCCATTTGGTCTTGGCAAATGCCAGCGGTATGGATTGTATCGTCTTCGCCGTCTATGCTGTCTTATCCGACGCTCGTATTCCAACAACACTAGCTGGATATTTAAGTTATGAAGTCTGTAAATACAGTGCAGATTGTATAGATTTGCCATTCTAGCCTGCATGCAAGTTAAAAGCAATAAAACTTCAACAAAGCGAAAGCTGCATCTTGTGATTCCATGATCATGCACTAAATGTTTAATATAGTGTGATATTGTGACACACCTTGAGCAGGAGCGGGAAAGTTTCCTTTTGTTGACACAATGATGCGTGTATGACAGGAATGCAAATTGCATGCAACCCTAAAACAACAAAAAAATTTTACCAGAAACAGATATTTGTCTGGAATTTTGTCACAACAAAAACAATTTTGTCCACTAGTGCGACCCGACCCTTACCACCATTTTCAAGTTTCAGATTTCAAGCTTCTTCATTCAAACACCAATGTTGTATCACATCCTAAACAACAACCATGGACAAGTTTACGATTCCTTCAATGGATTGGTTGACACCTGGAGATATCCACAAGAGATTCAAGTTTTTCAAGCAAAATTGCAGTCTTATTTTCAATGGGCCTCTCTCAAACAAGACAGAAGGTCAAAAGACGAGGCTACTCTTGCTGTGGGCCGACGACAAAGGATTAGAGATCTATAATACAGCAACATGGGAAGATGAAGCAGACCAATTTAAGCTTAAGCCAATAGTTAAGAAGTTTGAGGCATACACAAAGCCACAGTAAACCAAATACTGTTTTAGAGGTGGTTTGGGAAAAGTGTACTGACTTGTTTTCTGTTCTGGGCACTAGTGGCTCCTTGCTAGTACCCTTTGGTTGAAGGTGCTCTCTTGTTCTTTGGTACAGCTTGCCATTCATTTCAACAAAATATCTTCTTGGTTCTCTGTCGGGTTTTGGCGGTTGAAAATCCTGCCCTGTTCCCAGATGTGCTTTCTAGAGTTCCATACGTACACTGATTCAGAGCTGTTAAGAACATGCTTGTTGCAGCTGGCTCTCTTAATGTAAAATTCTGCTTGCTTGGTTTGCTTCTGGAGGTTGGCTTCTTGATGAGCGTCGTTGGCAGGGTGCCTTGATTGTAGGGCGAGGTTACTACTCAGTTGTGATGATATGGGCTTCCACCTATACAAGAGCTCATACGGTGAAGGAAGGTGGTCATCCAGAGGAATTATCCTGTAGATACACAGGGCTGTTTCAGGCACTGGTTATTCTCAACTGCCTTCTTTCAAAGAGATTTCATATCACCAACGCACCACTCTGCTACGCCGTTAGCCTGGTGGTGATAAGGCAAACTAAACGTTAAGGTGATACTGCCCTCTTCTCATTTCCTCTTAAACATGTCACTGACGAATTGGCTCCCAAAATCAGCAGTTAGTTCAGAGGGTAGGCCATACTCAGGAAATAAACTGGTTAAGTGGCTGGAGATGGTGGATGCTGAGGTATCGTTCAGGGGTCTGATGATAGGGAACCTTGAATAATAGTCAACGATTATCAGGTAATTTGCACCATTGAACTGAAAGATATCTGATCTAAGCTTCTCCCACGGTCTCGTTGGAAGATCAGGTTGCATTGATGGCAGCTTCGGTCGTGCTTGTTGATATTTGTTGCATAATTCACAGTCCCTTCACCATTTGACGAATGTCACCAGATATGCCAGGCCAGAAGACTGATTGCCTGGCGAAAAGCAAGCATTTGGTTTTGCCTTGATGACCAGTGTGTGTTACCTCCAATACTTGGGCATGAAGAGACTCTGGTACAACTACTCTGTCTCCTTTGGGTATCAGACCATCCTCTAAAACAAGATCACACCTAATGTTCCAGTAAAGCCATAGTTCCTTTGGGCCCTGCTTCCTATATCCTGGCCATCCATTGTAAATGGTGTTCTTCAACAACTGCATTGTCGGATCTTTTGCAGCAGCCGGACTTCACTAAGCCAATGTCAATAGGGCATGAGGTGTCTGTAGTCAGGAACACAGCTTTCGCTCTGCTGTCCAGTTCCGGTTACTTTCATTGTTGTGCATACATGTGATGACGCATCAGCAACTGGAATTGTTTCGCCTCGCCTGTATCTAACTTCGATGTCAAACTTCATGCATCTGAGCAACGGTCTTTGTAATCGAGCTGGTGCATCTGCAATGTTTTTCTTAAAGATTTGTTCAGTGGCGAGTGGTCAGTTTCAACCAGAGTATGCCTCCCAAGTAGATAGTACTCAAACTTCTCAAGACCGAACATCACAGCTAAGCGTTCTCTCTCAATGTTAGAGTACCTGGACTTCATGTCGTTAAGTGATCTTGATGCCATAGTGACAATCCTTTCCTTGCCGTTGAAATCAATTTGTCTTATCCAGGCGCCTAATCCTTTCTGCCTGGCATCACACTGTAGGATGGAGGTTGTTGCTGGATCAGGGTCATAGTAAGACAAAATCAGTGCTGAGCAAAGTTGCTCTTTGATTCTATCTAGTGCAGCCTGGTGATGCTGCTTCCACCTTAAGTGAACATTCTTTTTTGTTAACTCACAAAGGGGTGCTGTAAGCTCTGCCACTTTGGCTGAGAAGCGGTTTAGGTAGATGATCAATCCTAGTAGGGACAGAAGTTCCTTTGTGTTAGATGCTGCAGAGATATTCTCAAGATCTTCTAACTTGACAGCTGTAGGAAGGATACCATCTTGGGTTAGTGTGTGGCCGAAGAAATTGACACTTGGTTGTTTGAACTTTAGTTTCTCAGAATTCAGACTCACATTGTTTGCTCTGGTGGCCTCAAGCATATTGGCAAATGCTTGGTCGTGCTCTTCCTCTGTCGAGCCAAAAACAATGATGTCAGCTATCCCAGTAACATTGGGAATCTCCTTATAGATGTTGTGTGACTTCTGCTGGAAAATGTCCTGAGAAACAACTACCGTAGAATTCCGAAAGTAACGCCCCCCCGAAAGTAACAGCTCCCCGAAAGTAACGTTAATTTTTTATCTTTCTATTAAATCCCGAAAGTAACGGCCCCCCCTAAAGTAACGATCCCCCCAAAAGTAGCGGCCCTTTCAAAAATGACAACTCAAAAACAATAAAATCTGTTGTATTTGATGTAATGCCTGTTTCAAACAGCACAGTAAGTGCTTAGAAATACAACTTGGCAGTGAATTGAATAATTTCCTATTTTATTTATA